GGCTCAGAACCCGCGAAAGTTGAAAAACGCAGGAATTGGACACTTTACGGCTCGAAAGCCTCGAATCTTGCACTTTTCAACCTGGCCAACCCATAGGAATGGGGACCCCTCCGTCCACCCAGCACCCCTCCAGTCCCCCTGAAGACCTGGAGGGGGTGGATGGAGGGGGCTGGAGGCTGGGAGGATGGAGGGCTGGGGGCTTGACAAGGGGGCTTGGGGGATGTGGATGGAGGGGTGGGTGGTGGATGGAGGGACGGAGGAGCGGGCTAGGTGCTGGAGGGCTGGATGGAGGGGTGTGCTGGATGGTGTGGGCGGGAAACCGCACCGCACCGAACGGTAAATGATTGAGGTAAACCGCAGTAAACCCAAACCGCATCGAACCGAACCGCAACACCCCTGTTAACGGTTCTTTGAAGGCTGGCTGGAAGGGATGCTATGAGGGCGACCGGCTACTATCACAAGGTGCAGCGTATACGGTTTAACAGCCCAGGCAAGGCTTTAGGGTCTAGGGTCTAGGGTCTCGGGTTTGGTGTTTAGTGTTTGGGGTCTAGGGTCTAGGGTCTAGGGTTTAGGGTTTAGGGTTTAGGGTTTAGGGTTTACGGTTTAGGGCTTAGGGTTTAGGGGTTTATGGTTTAGGGTTTACGGCTTAGGGCTTAGGGGTTTAGGGGTTTAGGGTTTTAGGGTTTAGCCTTGGAAGGCTTTGGCTTGGGGGATGAAGGTCAGAGGTCTCTCCTAAAACCCACCGAACCAGCCTGAGACCCTACTCCGCTGTCTCCACTGAAAGGGCTCATTTGGGTTTAGGGTTTAGGGTTTAGGGTTTACTTTAAAGTCAAGAAGCGCCACCAGCCCCAACAAAAACCTCCAACTCCAAACAATTAAACCCCCAAGCCGCAAAGTAACTCAACCCTAAACCCTAAACCCTAAACCCTAAACCCTAAACCGACCCCTGAAGGCCTTACCAGGGGCCCGAGTCCCTACAAAAACAGCCTGCACCCTAAACCACCATATATACTGTATACCCGGAACCCTAACCCCTAGTCTAATCTTAACCTAAACAAGGGGTAAACCCTAAACTCTAAACCCCAAACCCTAAGGCTTAAACCCTAAACCCTTGCGCCAGGAAGCTTCTTCTGATTGGGAAGTGTGAGACTGCCGCCGTTGCAGGCTGCTAGCTCCCAGCCCCGGCTACTCATGAAGGTGGCCTTTCGAATCAGGAGTTCTTGAGGTTTAAACCTTTCGAATCGGGAGCATTTTTTCAAGGTTTAGGTATGGTTTAGGAGTTTAGGGTTCGAGTCGAATCAGGGGCTTGTTGGGATTTTAAAGTTCAGGGTTTAGGGTTCCGGGCCTCGATTTTCCGGCTACCCATGAAGGTGGCCTTTCCAATCAGGAGCTCTTGAAAGTGGGTTGAGGAGTCATTAGGTCGTAGGGCTTAGGGGGTTCATAGTCTTTTTAAACCGTCGCATTTAGGTGTTGGTAGGCCACATCTAAGTGTCGGGTTTGAGGTTCTAGTTTGCATTATGTGTAGGGCTGAGGAGCTACTAGGGTTTAGGGGGAGATATCGAGTTTTTAGTACGTTCTAACTTGCTTGTTGCTTTTCATTCTTTGCGAACCATGGAATACCAGTACAAGGTCCTGTTCTGTTGTGCTTGGCAGAGCTTATTTTTCATAGGCTTTGTTTGTCAAAAAAGGCCTTAACGATTTAACTTGGGTTTTTTGCAGTACACTACACTATACTTGTAATATGTAATTGTTCATGGGCTGAAGACCTTGCAGAGAAACAAAGCACTCTGAGAGAGAGGAACGAGGAAACGTGAGAAACGAGGAAACGTGAGAGAGAGAGAGAGGTGTAGGGCTTATATGGTTTAGGGTGAGAAAGAGAGCAAGCCGACATGCATGCATAGTGCCGCACAGGCTTTTCTTGAATTTGCCTAGGGCTTCGCAAGGCAGCGTCTTCCTGACTTTAGGGGTTTTGTACTTGTAGGATGAAGGCGACTTGATACTGTAAGTCGAGATGCTATGACTCATGCAGATACAGGGGCTCTAACAGTGTTAACAGCTAGACTAGTGGGTCCTGCCCAACTGGTTCGTGCTCACACTCCAGAGAGCAAGCACGAAATCTTAAAGCCTCATCCAGACGAGACTTCGAGAAACATTTTACGCTAAATATCTTTTACTTGGTATGAGCACCTCGAAACCCAACAGTATATCCTAGAACAGTAAAGCCGAAGCCTTCCAAGAGGATGTCGAATCTTGACACCCTGACCTAAGACGGCTTTATGTTGTGGGGCCATGATCCGGCATAGGCTTCGGTTTACTGTTCTCATAACACTCGACCCATGTATCTACATACCTATTTACCTATCAACCCTTATAAAGCCCCTCTAAACAGCCCATGACAATGACTAACTGTGACTAACTGTACCCGAGACAGCTCATACTAGTACTTGGCGAAGCACCAGTTCGAGCGTGCGCCGCCCCAGGTTGTTTCGAAGGCCATCCCGGAAGTAAAAGTTCGGCGGTGTCCTCAATTCGGAGGCCGATTCGGCGTAGGGTTCCAACTCCCATTTCAGGGAGGGTGCTCGGTCTAGTTTAGCGTTCACGTAGCTACAAGATGAGTTTCTGAGAATGCGCCCTCCCGCGCAGTCCACGACTTCCCGTGCCCATGACACGCCAAGACTTGCTAAAGTCATGTGCTGGACGGCCTGCTTCTATGAGTTTCAGCGCATTAAGGACCCGAATAGAGACCTTGAACAGTACTGTATGACCCGTACGACAATGTGTTTTTCCACACAGCTCTTTGGAAGGGATCTTCGAAGGATGGGCGCGAGTTTGGCGCGCCTAAGACGGCGCAGGGTACTTCAGATCACACGCTTTAGGGTGTACCTTAAGAACCCCAAACCCACTTTTCTGTAAGTTCGTATTATAAACCCTAATATGGGATTTATAGGGACCCTACAAAAAGTAGGTTTTGGGTTCTTAAGGTATATAGGGTTTGATTCTACCAACCAGGTTCAGAGATGATCCCAGGACTTTGGGATCCTGCATCGGTTTTTTCAAGTTGCACCTCAGAACCGAAACCCGAAGCCGAAAGCCTTAAACCCTAAACCCGGGGTTTAGGGATTGAGGGTTTAGGGTTTAGGGTCTTCACAATATTTATACGTCACTTCTCACAACAGCCTCAATGTACCCACACATCCTACACCCTGCAAAAGGCCCTGCAAGCCCACAAAGTCTAAGAGCTCCAACCCGCGATAGCTGAAGCCCCAAGACCCACTACACCCTGAACCCTCAACCCTGAAGCCCCAAAACTTAGTAAACCCGAAACCCTTAAACCTATTCCCTGATAGCTCCACCAAAGCCTACACCCTGAAGCCCCCGCAGCTCCTGTACTTGCGATCGCAGTACTTGGCATTGAAAACCTCGAAGATGCTGTTCCGGTACTCAGAGCAGCGCCACTGGTGGCTGAAGAACCTTGAGGGCCACAACAAGTTCGTCTCTTGTCTTCGTAATGACTTCGTCTACTGCTGCATTACCTGTTGTGGCATATAGCGGCATCTACATACGTATGTGTATATATATATATGTATATTTAAATGCGTCTATATATATATATATATTAATATAAAAGTAAAATGTTCCAATATATAGTCTACAAGCTGGCAGACTAGTCTCACTAGCAGCATGTAAACCCGGGCGGCTTCATACAGCATCAAGACCTTCCTTGTCAGGGGCGGATCCCTCTCACAGCTTATTAGGGGTACCCCTTAAAGGGCACCCCTTCTGAACCCTACTTTTGGCTCTCTTACAAGGGTCTATATCCCCAAGGGTCCCCCTAATCCTAGCTCCCAGGCGTTAGTGTTCCAGATCTCAACACCTGAGGCGGCACTGCCGGAGGCCCAATCTCCAAAACTTGAAATCCTCAACACTGCACCAACTGCCTGGCAGTTTGTTCCCAGACTGGGCCACCTACAAGTCCACAGGACGCAAGCGTAAGATCCGGACCATGACCCGCGGCCGCAAACCTATAACTGTAATTGGAGTTTACCTTAAGAATCCAAAACCTACTTTTTTGTAGGGTCCCTATAAATCCCATATTAGGGTTTAAATAAGAACTTACAAAAAAGTGGGTTTAGGGCTCTTAAGGTAGGGACAAGTATTATAGTAACCTCAGGTGTACGTCTCCATGATCCCGCAAGTCCACCCCAAACCCTTGTGTAATCCGGGGAACCCTTATAGAAACCTTGTAAAACCCTAACCTACTTGGGAGTTTCCGAAAACAAGNNTTTTGTGGTCCTTATAATAAGGATCTCACTACCTATTTTCGGAAACCTCCACTAAGCGCCAGACTTATGGCTCCAATCCCTGGCGAGTGGCTCATGCATCGCAGCCGCAGCCGAAGGTGCGTTCTGAATTCCGCTGACCTCAAACTCCACTATAATATAAAGGCATTAGTGATTAGAAGAAAGTTCCTTTCACGCTTTGCTTTAAAGGGCTCCTTACCTATGCTTTGCCACTGCATTATGTAGTTTTGAATAAGAGAAATAAAAAATAGAAAAGTCTTAGCAACAAATTTATCCGAAGATACTTTCATTTTCTGACGTGGGAAACTTTTGTTCAACATCTCAACAAAAACATCGCAGGAACTTTTTTAACATGCATGCATGCATGTTCACGCAGGAAATTTTATTTTCTATGAAATAAGAAGATATTTTTTATCAAGCTGAATTCTACCACAATTATTTGCACCAGTTTTTGTTGAAGAGTTGCCTTTGATATGATTGAATAAGCTGATTACACTTATCTGGTGGAGAAACATTACATATACTCGTGTGTATATATATATAAATACACACTCGAGCATTTTCAATACTTTAGTTTATCCATTTTAACTAATTGACTTTATGGAATTCTGAAATGAACTGTCGTTGTATGAATATACATAATGTCATATTATTTAACTTATCTTTTTGCCGTAAGCTTTCTTGAAATTTAGCTATTGAAAAGAACGGTTTGATGTTTCATAACTTAAGTTTCCTTCGCTGTTTTAAAACCTAATTACGCCATTTTTTTTTTACTTGCAGTGTTGAAACATCCCAATTTGATAAAAAAAAAAAAAAAAAGTCAACTTTGGATGTGTTTTCTGGTGTTCATGAGTCGTTGTTTCAAGTGTCTACCTTTAACGATTCATATTCATTATTTGTATGTTCGCATCTTTCTGTTAAAGTTCTCGAAATATACTGTCCATTGCTTTAAAATCCTGGCGTGCTGGTTCCATCAACGACTGTTTTAAAGCTGTCTGCTTGGCTTTTGGCTGTCCTCTTCTTCATCATTTATACTGCCGTGAAATATTGCCTTCTGTCTATCTTCATCATGTTCAGTATAAAATATACTGTACGTCATGCACAAGATGACATTCATTACCAATACCATGCTTGCTGTTAGTATGTTCATCAGAGACTTCTTTCATATGAGTGTTAGCAATATTTTTCATTTTCATTTAATATCTTGTTGTATACTTTCAACAAGATATATTGCTTTGCTGCGCTTGTTTTATTCATGTCTTCAAGATTTGTTCGCAGTTTGTCCGTAACAACTTGTTTAATTCATCATAGTTATTATTAGCGACTTAAACTTTTGCTTACACTATATGTTGCTATTTCGCTTAGACTTTCAATTAATAAAATATCTGACATAATGCCGTATAAACACCAGATTTGTTGAACCTGGAATGAATAAGTATATATCATTTTGCGCAGTAAAAGCCACTAAATTGTGATTCTTCGTTATGACGGTTTAGTTTTCCGTTTTTCAAACCAAGCAAATTTCAGAAATATAGTTTTCCCAAAAAATCCAAGGGCAAATGGCTTTTTATATGCTTATTCATTTTCTTCTAAACAACTCTTGCGAAAAAAGACAAACATAATACTGTTGGCATGAAACTAACATTTATGTTGAATAATTGCTTTATCACTCTTGATCAAACTTATCATATACTCACCATATAATGGTATTTACTAGTTGTTTGTTTTTGTTGTTGGTTTTTCTGTGTTTAGTTTTGTTTTAATAATTTGATAAACCATTTCTAACAATAGCAACAGTTTCTATCCTCCATACTACACCCAGGTTTGGGACGAAGGGGCTAGAACCAGAAACCCCGCAACAATACGAATGTCTCGAGCTTGCATCTACCGATTGGCCCCAAAGTAGTTCCTTTTTGGGG